GAGCGCGCTACCGCTTGAGCCACATCCCCAGCCCCTCTAACTCTTAAACATAGGTAGGTCAGTTTCCAAAAGAAAGTGGTGTGATATTGATCATTTTTATCTTTCCATTATTGAATTGTCATTGGCTCAAACAGATACCTACACATTTATCAAATAAATATTGCATTACTGACAATGTGTTCACAAGACATTTTATTTCTCTTTCTTAGCATAACTCTATGTGGGAAGTTATACTTCCCAACTCATATAATTCACTTTGTTTTGATGGTTGGTAGAGTTCATCCTTCTTACTAGAATTTCATTTTATATTATGATACCTGTTATAATCAATAGGATATTAATTGAGAAATGTACAGTTGAGCTTAGTATATTGTGCTTCTCTCATTAGAACAAAAAATACATACAAAAGATACAAAACAGCAGGTCAGAACAGAGCCCAATATACAGTATAGAAACATGCGCAGTCAACTCCAGCCTGGAGGCTAACACGGAGCTACCAGTTACTGTATCCTGCCTACTTTGGGGATGGTATGTTATGCAGTATTACTAATGATAACTGACTTACAACAAAGCTGAAATAAAATTTTTGTTTATTCATAGATTTCATCTTCTTTCCATTACATTGTATTTACTCTCTAAAATAACTGGATTCTCTAGTTACATAAGTTTGCATTATAATAAAGCTCTGAAATATAAAATCCCTTACTTTACAAAGTAAGGAATTATGATATAAACCTAATAGCTTACAAAAGAAATAAAACTTGTTACAGTTACAATAGGAATTTAGTCCAAGCCCCTTGCCTTTTAAATTTTATTATGTGTTCTCTAATATTCTAATGCATGCTCTAAAATTTATTTTGTAATTAAGCTATTCATATGGTTAATAATAATATAATAAAAACAGGTATAATAATTATTTATTGTATATTATTTACACAACATTTTGCATTACTTGCATAGGCATATTTATGGGATAACATCAGAATTTTAGAAGAGTAAACTTACTAGCTGACCATCCAATAAAGAAAAAAATGACTAAATTAATTAAATAAATTAATATTTTAATATGTTAGAATAACAGTAATCATGAAAGATTTGATTAATTTCCACCTCTGGTATTTGTGCATTAAGCGATTCAGATAACTCACCAAGTAAAATTGATTTGGAAAAGTAGGGAAAATTCTAGGCTTAAAATGCTAGATATTTTGTAATGAATTAAAATAAGGAGTAAAATTCACAGTAATAGGAAGATTGAGAAAGAGTAATCATGAATCCACACATGAGGTCAACTTTAGCCATCTGGGCACTTTCAATATGGAAATATCACATAAGAGATGAAGCTGCTTTAGTCAACCTCATGAGCTGAGAGGTAAATTGTTACAGTCTAGGGTTCTCTAGGTTTGTAGGCCTAAGCAAACACACCTAAATGCTGGCATCCTTACAACAATACCAAGGTAGAAGTCATAAACCATTGAAAAGACTAGGGCCAAGTTCAAGGGACTCAGAGAACCTGGAAAATGTCAAATTTGCAGAGGTTTGTGATGACCCTAGCTCTATCCTCCCAGCTCCCAACTAAAGAATTTGAATTCTTCTCAGGATGTTGGTAGTATATTACATTTCAATATATTTTCATAAAAACTTTCCTGGAATATGACCAAGACCCTAAGAATATAAAGAAATAAAACATCGCAAAGGCCAGGTATGAACAACAAAATTTATAACAGAACCCAATAATTCCAGATATTAGATTTTTTTGTCATAGACATTAAACTTAATTTTGCTTGCTATGTGCAAGAAGATAATATTTTTTAGTCATCAATGGATTTTTAAATTTTATTTATTTTTTATATGTGGTGCAGAGTGAGAATCCAACCCAGGGCCTCACATGTACCAGGCAAGTGCTCTACCACTGAGACACACTCCAGCCCTGGAACACAAACAACTCCAGTCCTAAAACACATCATAAACAGAATGTCTCCAAAGCTGGATTACTGTAGGCAAAACACTTTTCCCTGCTAGTTTTTCTAGTCTTGGCTCCCAAGATGTTGGCACACATAGCCACCTTGGCACAAACACCTTGTGGTATGGAAAAACTCAAATTTATCTTTACGTCTTCCTCTCCCTCTCTGCCATCAGTATAGACTTAACCCCCCTAAACTCAGACCTGTTGGGACCTGACTCCCAAGAAATGGTTTTGTCAGTGTGTCACGGAATCTGGACTTCGCAGTGATATCACTGAGATAGTGTCCCTCAGAAAAACAGCAGTTCATTTTCTAGATTGTGAAACTTCAGATTAATAATTTTTGTCATTTTTACTTCATTTCCTGAAATGGTGGGCTTGTGAAAAGGTGTTAGACAACATGCTAAATATAAAATATCAACCCTCATTCTAAACTTTCACTATTCAGAGCATTGAATGAAGACTTCATTGGGTTTTATAATGGCTTTCTGATTTTGATAGTCCATCCAAGAAGATAATTTGAATGTTGTTGTATACTGTTAAAAATTGTCTGCCCATGTTCTGCCTTAAATACCATGATTATGTATGAAAAGTATCTTTAATAAAGCTGGATACAGTTTGGTTTGGAAAAAAAAAAGAAGAAAAATGATAGCAAATTTACACTTCTACACACAGCAAAATTATCTTTTAAAATAAAATTCAGACATTTATACTATGTGGAGTTAAAGTAATGAAAATCAACAGTGAAAGAATAATTATAGTAGTTTCTTTAAAGAGGGAGATTTTTTCAAAATGCAGGAGAGAAGAAGGAGTTGAATGATTGATAATTTTTGCATTGATTTATTATTGATTATAACAATACTGCTTATGACAAAAACAAAATATTCAAGAAGTTTTGGTAAAGCTAATCTTATTTCCTTGACCTGTGTTGGAAGATGATTTAAACATTTAACAACATATTTGGGTAGTCAAGGATTAATGTTAAAATCTCTAAAGAAAGTATTTCAATAAAAAGGTAATTGCCAAATTAATTTCTTTGTGAAAAAGTATAGAAGAGTAAGTCAATAGTATTGAAAGTTTTTGGAGTAAGTACCCCTTAACATTCTTAAACTATGGGTTATAAGGATTTTTTTCAAAACAAAGTGAATATATTTTTTTACTCTTTGCCATATTAAAAAATAAAACTAGTAGTTACAGCATATGCTTTTCCATAAAAAAAAACAATAAAACCATATATCTAATGCAGATGACATAGTTTATGAGGAAAAATTCTCAGAATAATTAGGAAGATAATGTTTATATTAATGTTTGCTTCAATAGAAAACAATTTCTTAGGTATGTATGCAAGTCAATTTTCTGGTGATAACAAATATCAGTAAGGTTCTAGGAAAAAAATACTCTACACTTCTGAGATAAAATACACATGTCATCTACGTTATATAAAAATAATTTTGCCATTGCAGGTAAAATATTGAAGAACTTCCAACAGTCCCTAAAATACATGCTGGGAACCACTGTAAAGTGAAAACTTCAGCCAATATTGTCATCTCTAGTGTAACTACTTATTAAACATTAGACAAAGGAAAGCACATCTGCGAAAAGTGTAAGACATCCAAATGAACACAGGGAAAAATACCACAAATATTAGACAACAGTAGTCAATCTAAAAGAAAGCCAGAGGGGGTAAAAAGAAGCAGAAGTGTTGGAAAAGTGAAAAATGCATTCTAAGGTAGTAGAATGCTGAGGGCCATTGCCAAGTAGGTATGACACATCGAAATTTCCTTGCCAGCGTACCCCATGTTAAATGGACTTGCCTTGGAAATCCGCTGTGACCTTGCATGTGTGTTTGAGAAAGGTGACCCTGCTCAAGGACCAGGGTGGATCCAGGTTTAAGGTGTATCCTGCAGGTTTGAGGAAGTATCCCGCTCCTTGGGTTTAGGGCGTTCCAGGTTTAAGACAATGTGGTTTTAGGGAAGTTCCAGGTTTAAGTTAATTGCTGCTGGGAATAGGGTGTTCCTGCCGCCTGAGTTCCCGTTGAGTTCTCATGGAATTGAGAAAGTTTTTCGTGAAGTGCCAGTGTGAGTTCGGGAATAAAGAATTGCTGTTTGAATCTACAAGGTGTGAGTGGCTCGTGATTCAGTGCCCAGCCAAGATATTGGCAGTAGAATGCAATCAATGCCAGATATTAATTATACTACAGGTAAATGGGGAGTAAATTTGCTCTGATAAATATATTCACTCTGCACTAAATAAATAACTAAATAAATAAATAAATAAATAAATAAATAAATAAATAAATAAAGTGAAGCAAAAACACCATGACAAAACTTTTTCCTGTCTGTATAAGAAATACCTAAATTATAAGAGTATAGAAAGTTGTTAAAAAGAAGAATGGGTAAACATACACCAAAAGAATACAAGCTCCATGTAAACTGGTCTGTAACATTAGGATATAGAATTAAGGCAAGAATTATTT